TTGGTGCTTCTAGGAGGAGGCTTTCCAAGCATTCACACAACAAATGAAATAAATCTTTATTGTACTTTTTACCTTTTGTTCTAGTTATGCTTTTATGTCAACATTCTGGTGCTAATTTCACCACTCTTTGTTCTATTTAGCTGATTTTAGCTCCTTTCAGCTATTATTCTGCTAATTTCAACTTTTTGCAATTCTTTTAACCCTTTTTTGCTTTTTCAGCTGTTTTACGTGTTTTAGCTGCTTTTTAGTTGTTTTTTTCCCAGTTAAATTCACCTTTTTGAGTTAATTTCAGCTTCTTGCTGCCTAATCCAGCAAACGTGCTCACTGCATTTCTTCGTGCTAATTTCATCTATTTCAACTACTTTTTTTTCTATTTAAGGTTAGTTTTAGCTTTTAACTAATCAGCAAAAATATTTCACCATTAAGAATTTGCACTGCATTTTCACAGGAGACGCAAATTCTCTAGTTTTGTTTTTTTTATTACAATAGTATTATTATTTTACAATAATATATTTAAACATCACATTTAAATTTTTTTAAAGTAAAGCACAAGTCTCATCTTACAAGGCTTAACTAATAACTTAAAACTGCATAGAGGTGAGATATATCAAAGAGATTTAGCCTTAAAATGAAATCTATAATAAAGTATTCGACATGGAAACTTCAAGGCAGGCCACACTTAGTTTGACAGCAGCAGACAGTCAATACTCTTTCATTTCTGACTCTGGCTGCCAACTGCTGTTAATCTTCTTAAAAACCAATTTAGAAAGAACGACTAAAGCAGAAACTCAGTGCGAACAGTCCCGAAGCACATTCCTCTCTAAATATTGTGACATAATAACGTCACATGAAATCAAACCATAATAATATTGAATGCGGGACCACGTTTTACTACATCTTCATTCAGACTGAGCCGGGGCAGCTATCGATTTTTGCACTGAGAGGCATCATTGGCTGGCCTATCCAGGCATGAAAACGAGGGCTCTTAGCGGAGAATAAACAGTGATAATCCACATTTAAGCAGCTTAATGTGAGGTGCTATACTCCTGGTGATTAATGTGTCTAGAAGGGCTCATCCTTGCATATTGGGTCTTGTTCATCAAAGCATAAAATAGCACATTTATGAGCGAGGCATTTTTGCATGTTTGTCTGAAAAGCAATTGGAACGGGGGGTAGTGGAGAAAAAAAAAGCAGCGTTTGAGCCCCTGGGCTCAATGTGTGAAAAACAATTTTTTTTGGACTTATTGAAAATGCTTTGTCCTTTCCTGTCCATCAGAACAGCCAAGCCATGGTGCTCAGAGAATTGATTTTGTTTAGATTTTGCCTAGTCATCCTACATGTCTACATATATAATCCCGACTAATGCTGAAACAGCATTTTGTGTTGTTCTTACATAAGACAAAACTACACATTCAGGGCATCTTAAAAACATAAATGTAATATTTTTAAATATACTGTATATCAAAATAGATGAAAAATAACAGATGAGCTGTGTTTTGTTGTTGTTTTATTGTAACTCTCACATATTAAATCACTCTCTTTAGTTATCTATGTATGAATTTCTTCCATTTAGGTTTAATACATTGAGTTTAGAAAGGTTCTACCACATTTTAAATTTTGATACAGGACTAAAAATGCCTAGGGTCTCTTTCCTCTATACGTCTAACATTAAGTACTCTTTTTAAAGTCTGAGTACTTAGTATTTCATCAAGGAGGTATTCCCTCAACTGGAGATATCTAAAAAAATAATCCTTCAACAGGCAATCCTCAATTCTCTTTCAACTTATTATATTTTCATTTTTCAAAAAATAAAACACGCATAATACACTAATCTCTTTGTCTTTGTGCATTTTAGAGATTTTGCATTAAATTTTCAGCCTCCTGAAAAAAAGCAAAACTTTCAGTTATAAACTCTCTTTTGGAGAAAAAAAAACTTGCCCCAATTCAAGCTTTAAAAACATAAAAAAATAATTCATAAACAGGAGAAATTTGTAATATTTTTAAATATGAAAGAAAAAAAGTACAGTTAAAAATGTGTTTTATTACTGGTGAAATAGTTTAAATTGAAAATGTTAAAAAATTAGCTAAATAATGAAACATATGTTAGTGAAATTTTNATATTTATGTTTGTGGTTGTAATGTGACAAAATATGGAAAAGTTCAAGGGGTATGAATACTTTTGCAAACCACTGTAAAACCCCTGTCAGGCTCTTGCACTGCTAAGAGGGAGGAAGTCGCTAAAAGAAGACTGTAGTTTGTTTATTCATGTGGAAAATCAAAGTTCCACCTTTGATTTTCAGATTCCGCTATCACTGGTAACACCTGGGTATTTTTATTCCAAGGCTCTATTCTGCGCATTTAGGAGAACGAGGAGCTCCGCCTTCATCCTCAAACAGCCTTTAAATGACACCCCTGCTGGAAAGTGGCAGCCTTTTCAAGTCGATGAAGCTCAGAGAGGGTCACAAGGACGCTTGCACTGACAGATTACAATATCAGCGGCTGCATGATGCACATCAGCTGGCTGACCTGCCTCTCACTCATCCCTGCTGCACGTTCACGGTGCCGCTTCCCTTTGTCCTCTCCTCTTCGCTGTATTGATTCCACTTCTGCATCATTTCGGCGGTTTTAAACTTTGCCAAGCTGTCTTGTTCCGTGACAAGATTATTAGAAGGATCTTAAAAAGAAAATGTGAGAGCTTCCTTTTTTATTTACAGAAGAAAAGATTTTCATTCTCCCCGCTGAGGCTGGTGAAAGCTCTCAGCTACTTTCACGAGATATTAAAGCTCCATATCTGTGAAAAAGACTGGGTTATCGCCATTTTGTTTATTTTTAAGACTAGGTGGCTGTGGCAGCCATCTTTAATTAAGCTGAATCCTTAAGTTAATCAGTTGTTAATGTACATCCTACACTCAAAAAACAGATTGTTAGATTTACTTAACCACGGTATGTCATTTAAAATCATGACAGCGCATATATTTCAGTAAAACATTTGTCATTTGAGAAAAAAAAAGTTTTCAGTCAAACTGCCAAGTGGACATAATTTATAAAATCCAGGATCAAAGGAGCGACGTGTGAAGCTCAAGTCCCAAACGAGTGTGAAGAGCTGGAAAATAAGTTACCTCCTCATGCCCTAAAACATCCCAGTGCAGACGCATTTTCAGGCCATCCATAAAGAAAAGGTGCTTCAAGTTGCAATAAAAGGAGTTGAGGTTTAAAGAGGCAACACATGATGGATTATAGACCCACAGCAACAATAACACACATCACTGGACAGATGATCCTAGAGGCCTCTACACTCTTTGTGTAGTTACTGAAAGACGGCATTTAATAAAGAAAGAATAAAATCACAAACGGAAAGCAGTTGTGTGTCAGGGTGCTCAGCAAGCATTGAACATTTAACATCAAAAACACGTTTGGGAAATTTGGTTTTCATGTGATGCTGAATGGAAAAAATGACTCTTTGGTCGAGGGAGTTCCAGATGACAGGATTTACTGGATTATTTAAATGTTAAAAAATTTAAGAATTGCAATAAAATTAACCATTATTTGAACAAAAATTTGAACTTGTTTGACTTATGGTGCGCCAAGTGCAAAACGAAAAGTAAAATAAATAAATAAATAAAAAAATCCACTAACATATTTTATTGTTATTTAGCTCACTGTCCTTACTTTTAGCTAATTTCTACTAAATTTTACATTTAAATGTTAAATATATTTAAATATTACACCCTAAATCTAAATGTTTAAATCTAAATGTAAAAGTTAAACATTAAATGTTGAAATTCACATTTAAGTATTTCGGAATGCAGCCTTTACTGTTGGTACTCCACTCATGTTATGATGTCATCATCCTGAGACAATAGCTACCGCTAGCGCTCCAATGCAGCTAAAGCTTCCCTAAAAGACATCAAACTTGCAGTTACGGCTGGTGTCTGAGCAGCACTTCAAACTGCTGGACCACAGGTACCACCTATATATCGCTTTTTTATTAACATATTTAGAATTTCGATTTTAAATATCATCTTCAGCAGCGTTGTATGTAATGTAATGTAAGAACAATGATCTAAATAACAATAAGATGTTAGTGGAAAATTTTTTAACATTTAAAAAGTGAGATAAATAATGAAAAATGTCAGTGAAATTTTTAAATATTTCATTTTACACTTGGCGCCCCATAAAATAGTAAACAGTTGAAGACTTATTTTAGATTCAATGGAAATATGTTTATAAGAATGTAAACTACTTATTATTAAATAGTAAAATAATGTGACAGAAAGTGGCTAAAGTTGTATTAAAATCCTACATTTATGCCTGCATCAATTTTATAAAATCAGCCTTGTTAATTATTTAATATTAAAGTGAGTAGTGGGTCGTCTGCACACTCAGCGTTCCCTCAACAAGAAAACGAAACAAAACAAAACAGCTTCCTTCAAATCCCAAGTCTCAGGCTGTCAACACACTGTTTTTGCCAAATATTGAGCCTAAAGATCCACCCTGGCAGAGAGGAAGTCTTTAATGATACACTTTAACACCTCTAAGGTGTACTGAAGGGAGTATTTTCCCTTTGGCTTGCAGTTTCTCACGAGGGTTTGCTCAGTGAGCAAACAGCAGGAGAGCTGGACTAACAGCAGGCAGGTCCCAGGTGTCAACATGTACTTTGTTAGAGGGAAAACAGAAATAAAATAAAATAAAAAAATAAGGGGCAGAAGATATCATTTAACTCCTGCAGATGAAAGGTTGAAGAATTTCCAGCTCGACACAGAACAACACGAACAACAATGGATGACAAATCTAATTACATTTCACTGATGCCCTTGTGCTGCCTTATGCTTCCAAAAGAAAATTAATCATAAAGCGCTGCATCAAGCTGTGTTACTGATGGACACATATTTGCAATTTACTTTTTAATGAAAAAACAGCTAAGGTTTAGGGTTGTGAAGCAAAAAATATCGATTGGAACATAAAGGCGGGGATCTGCGGTTTCGACAGGGACGTAGTACCTCTGCGGGTTGGGCTCGTTGTGTTTGTCCCTCTCATGCTTAATCATTCTGTAGCGACCGATGCGGACGTCGGGCCTGGACACCTTCATCCCATTCAGTGTGATCCTGCAAAACAGACACATGCAATGTCCTTTAGAGTAAAGGAAGAGAGAAAAACACAGGAATTAACTAAAAAAGTAGGTCTGTTAAGCTGAAGTGAGGCCTTTTATACTTTAATGGTTTTGCTTCCAAATTGAAACACTTTATTACTGTAAATTTAGCTGAACTATCCATTTGAAATGTTTCTCTCTGTTAAATCCCACAGCTTTGCATTAAAAAGTTGCACAAATCACTCTGAACACGTTGTTGTATTGATTGTTTGTTTTTTATTATTATTTAAGGCCTGTTCTCATTTTATACTCTGCTAATTGAAAATTTGCACCTCCTATTCAACGGCTGGCTCCAGTTTCTTTGGTTACAATCAGTACTTTTTTATCATTTAAATTCCTCCTATAATGAAAACCTGTAAAGACATTTTACAGTTTCAATATTTCTATAGCAGCTTTCACAGACACAAACATCACAAAGTGCTTAACAGAGCAAAAAAAAAAACAAAAAAAAAACAAATAAAAACGGTGCACCAATATAATCCGGAACAATCTAAAAACAGAAAACCAAACTTCATTAAAAGTCTGTCTGAATAAAAATGTCTTAGACTAACCTAACCTTTCAGAAGATCCAATAACCTATGTATTTGGGGGCCCTAAAGATTAAAACCAAACTTTTAAAATGACTTCTCAAATGCACAGAGAGTTTAGAACAAATTTGAGCTCTTCTGTTGGTCTTAGTTAACAGCCTCGCTGCATTTTTCTGCACAGTCTTTATTCTCTTTTTATTCTATCATCTAGTCCAGAGATTCTTAACCCATGGGCCAGTTGTGGGCCACGAGCACCACCTTCAGGGCCTCAAATGAACAACAGTTTTTAACGTTGGGCCGCAGAGGGCCGTGGGACCGCATTGATTTTGAATAAGGTGCAATGCACTTCTTCACCACAAGTAGCAGTAGTGCGCCACTCAGATGTTTAACAACTTTTTTAATATGTAGAAGAAGAACCTTAGATACCAGCCGAGAATGGAAACCTATTTTAAATGAACAGTAGAAGCAAAAATGAAGGCAATCCATAAAAAAAGTCAAAGTTTGTCACTAATATGAACTGCAGTTTCTGGTTCTACCATGCAATATTTTAAAAGTTCAAAACATTATCAACTACAGTTGCAGATACAGCTATATTTTAATTTGCACTTTATCAAAATAATTTTTGTAGTTTATTTTTAAACATTTTGAATGTATTTTAAAGAAACTTTAAACTTGTTAAAAAGATGTTACTGTTATCATTTGTCACTAATATGAAGATCAGCTTCTGGTTTTTTACCAGGCATTATT